GAAAAATATCGTCAATGTAAACAGCATACGTGTAGGAGAATTATAATTCCTCTTCCTTAAAGTGTTTCGAGGTTTCGATCTTCCAGTATTTGGAATATTTCTAGAGTTATCTTGCTGCATTGTGAACTGACTTTCGTTATTAAGTGCGGTTGCTGCACCAATATGCGACACAGCATTTACTGTTTCCTCATTATTTTCACGCCCATTCTGCCCCTGACCATGCGATATAGCACAGATGGACACATCTTGGTCAGTTTTTTGTCTTACGTTTCCTCTATGTTCATTAATGTTTTGTCTTGCCGACGATCTTGAAGACGGGTAAACGGCGTTGTGTCCTCTTTTACGGCATAAAATCACACAAGCAATGTTGATATTCCCAATAACAATTATAATTATAGGGAGAATGTTGAATACTACAAGAATGATGATTCCTAGAATTCCGTTGTGAAACTCTCTGTATTCCTTTGATGAATATGTACATGGAAAGTTTATAAGATCACTTCCAAATTCTTTGATGATTTCTTCTTTAGACGAATAATGTTTGAATCCAGTAATGTTATGAACGTTAGCCAATAACAAAATTACAAGGGTTGTCGAAGAGACCACAAAAGACGTCCTTGGGGTCAATTTTGTTTTCGTTTTGATTGGTGCTTTTGTTAATAAGAAACGTTCTACTGTTAGCAAAACTAAAATCCAAACAGAAAAAGCACCGAATGTGTAAATGGCCCAATACCTGATCTTACAGAAGAAGACAGAATGATCTTGAAATTTATACCCAGCGATACCATGAACCGTATCCGGTAATAAACCAAATACAAGAAAAAACATATCACTTCCAGCCAGAAATAGTAGATAAACTGTTGAAGAATTTGTCCTCAAGCGTAGCCTGGATAGAACGATGCAGTTAAGAATATTCCCGAATATTCCAATGGAGAAAAGTATCAGTGGAATGGTATGCCATATCCAGAATGCGATGTGACATTCTATAAAGTCGGTGTCAGTACAATTAACGTGGTACAAATCGACAGTCACAATATTCCTCATGTCCTGTTTAAAAACTATTTTTTCATAAATTAAAGTCCATCAAACAATGATTTCAACTGTACTTTAGTTTTATTAGAATATGTTTATCACAAAATATATTCAATCAAATCAGGTAAAAGTATACAAATAAAAGAAAACTCATAAATTTCCATTGATTACTTTGCTTTTTATTTCCTCTTTTTTTCTTCCCACAATATCAATTCAACTCACTTATTAAATTCCCTTGTTTGCTTTCGTGACATTTTTATTTTAGCGACAAATCCATTGAGAATATGTCTAAACAGTTTTACAGTGAAACAATAATTTGAATTATAAATGTTCATTTACTAAGCACTTTTTATCATCCGATTTAATACACATTTCAGTCCTTGCGTTGGATAATTTGATAGTAGCGATAGGATTAAAACGTAAATATTGGAGAATAATTCCTATTGAATTCTTCACAGTATCCTCGTTCTGTCTAAGTATGATCCGCATTAGAATTTCTAAGCCATATATAGTCAGTAATGAACCCTCATATTTTTTCAAATAATTGTCAAATAAACCTTTATCTAAAGCCAATTACGCCTCACGGTCTGATATATGACTGGCATTGATTAAAGCTTATTTCAACCAATCAAATCTTTGAATGGAAATAAGCGATAGAAAAGGCAATACTTCTCCGTTCAAATATATTTCCTCGAATAAAAATTATATTTTTGGTATAAGATGATTCCAGTTATTGGGAAGACAGCGGAAATATGAAGAAAAGAAATAAGTTTTCGTAAACAAACTCCAAGACTCTAACGTAGAAATTTGTGTTAAGTCTGTAAGAGACATTAATTTTACTTTATTCATTCACAGACACGTAACTGTTACATTTTCTGATCATTGAATTATTTATATATCGCATGGTGTATCACGTATATGGAATAGGAGTTTGAAGATGTTTGCTACAGTAACGTTAAATATACATAAGCAGAATGATTACTGGATAAGATAATTTATTTAAACTTAGCATGATACACACACAATATGATAATATAAATAAATCTATTTTTAAAAACACTGGCCGCTAAGCCCCTTTTTTCTAGTAATCTGTCCTTGATTTTTTTATGGAACACATGCAAAAGTCTGATAAACCTCATTTTTGCTGTTGGTTTTACTTTTTTATTTTTATAATTGGCTATAATACAATAGTTCAAGAATTCCATGAGCCACTTTATTGTATTTTTTCATAAATAGACTAAACAGAAATAATAAAAATAGGCCATTTCTAAACTAAGGAAATTGGCATAGGTTTGACAATGTAAAAATGAATGAAACAATACTTAACTATATAATGCACTTTTTTCAACTTCTTGACATTTTACATAAACAAGAGGAGTCAGCTTCATGAAAGTTGAACAATTAGGCATTTGTAACATTGTGAATTTTCTGCCCTTGAAATAGCAGCATTTTCATATCCAAGGGCAGATCATTCGAAAACGAGTTGCATTACACCACTTGTTTTGCTTAAAATATTCATCTTACCGTATTCTATTCTTAAACCATGCAGACAAAGTTAGAATAAGATCTATTTTAAAATTTTCATTTTATATGTAACCACACTCTTTTAATGTACTTAAATTGTGAATGTTTTTTTTTTACTTTTTTATTTGGTGTGATTTTTACTTTAATATTTAAAAGCGATTGTTATACCTATTTGTTTATGCGTTCATTTATTTCCGCCCTTTCTTGTAGATCTTTTGTTTTATGTTTCATGTGCGTTTGCCTAAACAATATTGCGTAGTGTTACTAAAGTGAGAAATAATATTGATATTGCTAACGTAGGCTGGCTGTCTTTTTTCCGGTATTTAAGAATTTCTTTAAATAATAAATGAACAGCAAACGGTGAATTATGCTAATGGTATTGATAAAAATATTTTCTACTTTTCTTTCTTTGTGTGGAGGTTACGTCTGATTTATAGAAAAAATCACTCAATAATGAATTATTTAAAGTTTCCAGCTATGTGAAAAAAATATCTGACATTCGTTGTCAATTCTTTTCACTTAATGAAATGCATCCCAGAAAGGAATAGAAATTAAACCAGCCTTATTCTTATTATGTTCAATTTGATCAATAGTTCTTAATAAAATAACGATGCTATACGTTTTCTACGCATTAACGTTATTATAGTTGTTGGTCGGATGTAAAAAAAAGGCAACCAAGGCCTTTGACACCTTATGAATCTTTTCATTGCTCTCACTCAAAATAACTTTCAATAAACAGTCTACGATATGATCTTATGTCTTGTGTTCACTTATTTTTGACAATGTTTCTTTTTATTACTGTTTATGATATTTTGTGTTCATAAATTTTCGGCCGTGGACCATTTTTTACGCCTTAACATTCGGAACTTTTATGAACTATTTCCTTCCTTTCCATGGTACTTGCAGAATGGAATACTATCAGATAAAAATATATTGATCTGATCCCTGTTTTTTATGCAAAAGGCAGACTGATTTCTTTTATAGAATCGGTGGAAAATAAGAAACTAACGTTCAAAACTTAGGCAGAAATTTATAATTTGCGTTGACTTTATTTAAGCACTTATCCAAAGATATTATAATATTATTAAAGGTATATGTCCAATCGCCAACACTGCAAAATCTGAATGATCTCTTCAAAATAAATATTATTTATTTCAATGTAGTAGTAAAAAAACTCATTGAATTTTTGTCAGTGTAACAAAATTTTAATCTTTTTAATTAAAACAAACATCAAACGTTTAAACTGATTTTTAATTTATTTTTTCATTTGTTGATCTGAAATTATATCTTTTTCATATACTATGTTTTTCCCTCGGCTTATACGTATATCGATTTTGGAATATTCATTAAAGATTTTATACCAGATAGAAGTGCGGAAGAGACATTTATATGGATATTATTTAGCGCATACTGCTCTTATTCTATTTCAATTAAAAAGTCAATAAAAGAAAGATTTCTCAAGAGCAAGAATCGAATAGATAAGAATAGTTTTTTATTTCCAATCAAGGGTCTTTACAGGCATAAACACATAATAATGATGATAGTGTACAAGATGTACACAACTAAAAACATTAACGAGCAATGAAATAAAAAAATACATGAAGTTGAAACCCGTTTTTCGTACATATTTGCACAATAATTTCTTCACGGCGACGAGTCGGAGAAAGTGTATATATTTGTGTATGTTTGTGGTCTGAAAAAAACTTGCACATTTATAACAGGTTAAATATGATCGCTTACAGTCGGGAATTCTACATTAACCGGTGCTAATTGATAACTTCACGGAACTGTTATGTAAAAATTTTAAAATCAAGCCCATATAAACTTTGATTCCAACATTCTATTTTATTGAATAATGTTTTCAATATTATAGGTTCTGCTGAAGCTGATCCACAAAGATCATGACCACCGAACATTACTTTAACATTATCATACTTAATCTAGCCCACATTTTGCTAAATTTCACCTCAACTTGACTGTATTGCATTAGGTATCCATTTATCAAACTAAAACCGAATTATTTTAACCATTATTTTGCTAAGCCTAGTAGGTTGTTGCACATTTTGCAAGTGCGAACTCAGTCAATCAAAGTTCAGAATTTAAAACTACTTATTATTTATTTAAATAAATCAAAATATGATGATTAATTTAAGTCACAGCTTTACTTGTACTTCCAGTTTTTCCTTCGACGTTTGGAATTCCGACTTTCACTTTAATTAAAGTATATGAAAATGTGACCATGCTCGAAACACTTCCCCCCTCACTATTGTGGATAGGCATTTTGAAGGCCGGTTATTTTGCTTAGGAAATAGTGATCGGAGGGAGGGGCACTAACGTCTCCCTCCGCCAAAAATGCTAGAAATAAGCAGTCATAAAATTAACATTGTGGTTTTAACTTAAAACCAAACAAAAAGATGAAATTTTAAAATTTCGACTCATTTCAGGTAACCGCACATGTAAGCAAGGCTGGTGGAAATGTCGGTCAAACTACAGGTGTATCCCGGACTGGCAAAGATGCAATGGGAAAGACGACTGCAGAGATAACTCGGATGAAGAAACGGCCAATTGTCCAAAATGTCACCCTACAGGAGACTTCCAGTGTGATAACAAACGGTATATCTGAAGTGTTGATATAATTGCCTGACTTTATTCCAGATTTGTATAGATCTGATCACTTTGAACTGAAATGAAATAAATCGGTAAAATGTATGTGTATAGGACTTAAAAAGGCATATTTGATTTTAAAATGGTAAATGTTTTGCTTTGTATAGTCATACTCTAAGAGAGGGTCCATATAGGAGTCATTTTGGCTCGAACCGTCCTTTTTCTTTTTTTTATTCTCAATAAATTAAGAAACCAGTACATGTATTAACTGGAAACTTAAAAAAACATGTATGTGGAAGATCACAAGTGTATTTAGAAGTTTATTTACCTTCCATTGTATTTCGACAATGTTTCCCCATTTTCAAACGAATTTTCATTTTATTTTTATACCTCTGCATCTACAACAAAATGTATTGTTTCGAAATTGAGAAACACGGGCAAACTTTGAAGGCCAAATGTCACAAAGTTTTTGTTTTGTTTTTTTTAGATGTTAGGTGTTCTCTTTTTAAAATGTCTCTGAAACCGGGTGTGGTTTTTAACTAATCAAATCTTCTTTAATTGTTAACGAAGGGTCACGTAAATCTCTGCAGGCCAAGAATTACAGCTCTGTATAATATCATTTTGACTTTTAGCATACTTAAAGATTATTTCATCCGTTTCAAAAAAAAAATAATTTATAAATTCAAAATCATTTGATACTATTTCCTGTCCCATAGTGTCTTTTCTTTATTTGACCAGACAACATTTCTGTTCCGTTATATGACTTTGATGCCCCCAAAAAACATCACGCCCTTTTCCATCTCGCAGAGAAAACTCCTACAAAAAACATTAATAGGGTTGCGTATCCCGTTTAGCAATAGGTCTAATTTCTTTGTGTTTTCAGAGGTACTTATCATTGTTTAAATGTTATTTCAGACACGCAAATCATGTTTTAGTGGGGGTTGTTTAAATTTGAAAGTTGAAGATTAATTGGTCATATAAAACTTCTTTTCATCCGCAGATCAAATAATTGTTGTTGTTTTTTTTGGAGGGGGGGGGGTTGTTGTTGTTGTTTTGTTGGTGTTTTTTTTAGTTATTTATTTATTCATTTTTTTTTTTTTGTTTTAGATGTGTACCAAAGCGATGGATGTGCGACTTTGACAATGATTGCGGGGACAACAGCGATGAAAACCCAGTAATGTGTGGTGAGTAATGTTATGTTTAAACTTACAAGGGGCATCTTTTAATCGAAGGTCTTGACCTTTGAACCTAGTCAGTTAGGCCGAGGCTTTTTCAACCCGCTCCCTTTTCTGGTCAGAATGCGGGATCCAACGTGCGAACACCTTTAACTTTTCTTTCAAGATGGAAACACATATGACGCACTTAGACCCGATATGTCACTTCTACTTCACGGTATATCTTGCATCTTCATCAACATTGATTTTGACAGTGCTGATGTCTTTTTCAGAGGTAGTGGAAATTGGCAGCCTAGGGCCAGTATCATCCTTAACATTATTTCTACCTACTACTTTAAATATGACCCTCATAAAAAACATTTGCCACAATAATGTGTGATTAGCGATGATCTTTTTAACTAATAAAGCATACATTTTTGTGTCAACTTGTCATGTCATCGTACACGTAAAAAAATCAAACAACCAAAAACCATAAGAAAGCAGAACCAAAGATTATTATTTAACCTCATATCTTTCAACTACACAATGGAAATTTTACAAGAACTAAGCTTTCCAATGGTATATATAATTTTATTGAGGAATTTGAAATAAAATGAGCATATAAATGGACTTATTTGACATTTTAAATCAATGGTCTCTTTTTATCCGCAATATGGTTTTTCAATGCTTATTCCTATGAAATGATTGGCCTTTGTTATGAAATATCATTTTTCCATATCACTTTAAAGGTTTTATGAACTTTTAAAAATCATTTTGTATTGTCAAATGAAATGGTATTATTCCCAAGATACTTGGAACGTCAACGCGTTCATTAGCTTTACCTGTATACCATTAAAAACGATTAATTGTAGTTTAGTATGGTTATTGTAAATTATTAAACAGACATTTTATTTCTTTCTGCTTACATTACGTAGGAGTATGCTATTTGTAAACGTAATAACTGGTATGAAATAAGACCCATTTCAATAATTTACAAGAATTTAAACACTTATTAAACACATGGGATTTAAAATATCATCACGTCTGCAAGTTAAATTCCGCCTGCAGGATCAAATTCCGTTTCTGCCACAATGTCAGTCGTTCAACTGCGACGAATTTTTTTAAAATCAACAATGTGGCAGTCCTATGAAAGAAAAAATATGAATAAATGGCCTTTTCATAGTATTTTGAAAAATATACATGTACATTACAGCGCCATTGTACAGACAGTGTTCAGAAACGGAAGTGAGGTGTAAGAATCAGAAATGTATCCGCAGCAAATGGCAGTGTGACCATGACAACGATTGTGGAGACAACTCTGACGAAGATCCTTCCATTTGTACAAGTGAGTTGCGTCCCTTTTTCCAAATGCAATATTCAAAGATAGTTATCTCCCTTTGATAATTTTCATTTATTTATCAAACTTAAAATATAAATATACTGTATAGTTAGTGCGCAAGGTATATTTGGTCGCACAGTAAAGCACTGCTCGGACAGCGTTCTATTTACAGAGCATGGCTTCGACAATATAATTGACAAATATTTTATACAAAATGCGGGACAAAGCATAGCTTATAGCTTTTGAAAAAAAAGTTTTTATGTTAAACAATCATTGAAGATCTTAATGCAAAAATAATTAATCACATCATGTAGATACTCTGTTATAATAAAAGATTACGCGTGCCGTGTTGAGATTTATATGTTAACATACATCAAATGTGTTATTGTGCGTTGTAGCAACTGCAGTGATTATATTGCCCAACCTTGCTTCATCAAAGATGGACATGTAAGTCCAACTCAATCATATTGTACAGACGACTCAAGACTGACCAGTTATAACATTATTTTGTGACGTTTGACCATCTTGTAGGAGTTTTTTTTAACAAACTTAAAAGATAAATGTGTTTACATACATCTCATTATAGGTCCAACTGTGTGCACACGTAACCAGTTTCAATGTGTGACAGGACAGTGTTTAGACAAGTCGTTTCGATGTGATGGGACCGGCCAATGTCCGGATTTGTCGGACGAGGCGAACTGTACCGGCATTTACCCTCGTGGACGGGCGTGCCCCGGTGAAAAATTCCAGTGCGGCAATAACGTAATACATAATTGTTTTTTTTTTAATTAAAAACAATATATTTTATACATTTGATCATTTTAAATTCTTTCCCTCCACATATGAAAGTGAAAGTATGTTATGTTTCAATAATATTTGACACAGTATAAACCTATAAAAAGCATGAACGTTACATATGTTTTAAATACATGTATAAAAGATTTAAAAAATAAAGATTTCATACTTGGTTGTTGATACTTAAAGTAATATTAAAGCTATAAAAGTAAAAAAAATGGCCGACAAGATGTATTTTTATAATATGATATAAAGCAATATTTCTATAACCGGTACCTAACAGAAATAAATATTGTTTCAATTTTACCATGTACAGATTTGCATACCGTTGCACTGGCGATGTGATAGCTATGACGATTGTGGTGACCAATCGGATGAGAAAATAGAAACATGTGACCAGATCACGTGTACGGATAAAACACACTTCCGGTGTAATAACCGGAAATGCATTCAAAGATGGCAGTTGTGTGACAATATAACCCAATGTGGCGACGGATCGGATGAGGATAATGCCACTGTTTGTAGGTGTTTGCTTAAATGTTTATGATTTTTTGTGGCCAAAAGTAAATAGTCTAAATACCATTATGCTTTAAAAATACATTTTTTAAACAAATACTTAGAACTGTGCAAAATTAACTTAAAATCATTGATTTATAAGTTGAAACATATAAAATTAATCAAATCATAATTAATTAAAGATATCAACATGATTTATAGGTAAACCACCGAAGCAGACGCCATGCAAAGCTGATCAATTTAAATGCATGAATGGCGGGTGTATAACTTCTTCCGGTGTATGCAACAACGTCAAAGATTGTGAGGACGCTTCAGATGAAATTGGCTGCTGTAAGCTTACTCTTTTACTTTTTTCAATACTGATTTTAACAGCCCGTGATGACTTTCGTAATATATTTATGCCGGTGCTAGGGAGGAGTGTGGCAATAACCTACAGGGGCGTCAGCTGTCCATAATCATATTAGTTTAAACAGAGGCCCGGCATTTCAGTCTTACCCTGTTAGGTGTTAGGATAACTTTATTTTTGCTACGTATATCGAGTCAATTTAAGAGCAATATAACCATAGTGGCCTTTGAAGGTTTGGTGACATAGAAATGCTTGAAAGAGGGACATCACCCAAACGCACTGATGTAAATTTCAGAATAAAATTGAGATTTGACCGAAATTTAAAGATAACACAAAATATGTAATGCATATACATTGTATATGACACTTTTGAGTATTTCTTTAGGCTGATTGTTCTTTTATTTTTTCCTTATTTTGCCAAAATGTGTTGTTGTTTTTTATGTGATGCATTTTCAAATTGAATTAATGAATGTTGAATTACTGCTTCACGATTTGTTCATTGACGACAATAGGGAACAGGGAAATAATTTTTCTATTAGTATATAAACTCTTAAAGATCTTGTATGCTGTAATTAAGGTTGTTACCATACTAAAGTAAAATTTTATTTATGTATAAAATTATGCTTCTAAAACAATTTTCAACAAATTACAACATTGAAGAATATGTAAAATATGTACTGCAAATATTGATCCCCATTATATGTAATCATTAAAATATATGCGTTCATTTCTTATTGAAAAAACTTGACTTAGACTTTACAGAAAATAAATTTCTAATTACCTCCCTTTATTAACATGAAATGTAAATTCGGTAACAGCTATACAAATAATGCTTTCTGGAACTTACATTATTGACATATCTTCAATGGAGCATTATATTTATGATATAAAACCATAAAAAATTGATTAACAGAATCTTTAACTCTTATACTGAAAAATATCGTTTATCCTCGTATTTTATCGTATTGGACTATTCATTAGTCTACTTTAGATATTGATCTTGAGTAATTTAACATCACATCAATCAATAGAGAATTTCTTTAATTAAGTACATATTCAAAGTGCAAATTTTATCTTATCTTACTGTTATTTAAAGTGGCGTGACAGATGAGTACAATAAACCTTTAAAAGAATCGAACTGAAGATTTTCAGGAAAAGTTTAACTATTCCATATAATGTCGGAGATATAATGAATTATCAGAATATGGCAAAATTTACTATTTCATTTACACAATTTTACCATCTTGCTCAAATAGGTATTTTTTCATATTTTGATAAGATATGGATAATAAGTGTCACATGCTATGTAATAATAAAATTAATTGTCATTTCGACTTTTTCCAAGTTCAAAGCAGTGCAAATCCATAACAATGACAAATTTAGGAGTAAACATCAATTTTGTTTAAATACTTACAGTTACTGTTTTTTTTTTTGTTTTTTTTTTTTTTTGATAAATTGCTTATTATTATTTTAGCGAAAGGAGGAGAAAAGTCAACCTGTTCCGTAAAGAACGGCGGATGTGAACAGAAATGTAACGTGGTGAAGGACGGGTTTTATTGCTCCTGTTGGAATGGTTATTACATCAGCGCGTCTGACGGCAAGTCATGTGAAGGTATAAAAACAATTTTAACTCACTTCTTTTTTTGAAAATACAGTCTGATGTTCAAGGCAGTATTTCATTATATTAATGTACGAAAATAATGTAATTTATGGGAATGCAAACCGGTCAAATGAATAAAATCTAAACAAAATCTAAATTTAACAATGTCTTTAAAAATACTTTTACTAGTACATTGTAATTATGGTTCTTATGTTTTTTAAAAGAATTAATTGTTATGTCAGTAAAGCACTATAAATTTGTCCAGTTGTTGTTGTTGCTATGTTATTGTTGGCTTTTTTTGTAGTTTGTGTTGTTTTTCCCTCTCTTATTTAAAAGTTAAAAGACCAATACACAAAATATGTTATTGATGGCTTCGTTGCTATTGTTGTTGTGTTTGTTTTTTTAGATATTGACGAATGTTCAATCTATGGCAACGGATGTCCACAGCTTTGTAATAATGTCAAGGGATCCTTTAAATGTCAGTGTGCAGCAGGTTTTACCGATGTCAAAGGTCAAGGTCATGACTGTAAACCAAAGAGTAAGCGAAATAAAATAAGTTGTTTGTTAAGGAATTCTTTTCAGGATTAAAGCTATTCTTTCTTCTTTTTAGAAATGGTTATTCGTTGAATGTTTTGTTTTTATTTCATTTGTTCAAAACTTCTGTTGTTTTAGACTCACCTTGTTGCAAAATAAAACAAAATCAGTAACTAGCTTAAAGTGGGCTAGATAATAAAAACAGCACGTTTCTTGATTATTCCAATTGATTTGTTTAAACTGTAAAATATTTAAATACTACACTCCTTTTTGAAGAGTTTTGTTAAGGTGTTACAAACATAAATCAATTTTATATAATAACCAACCAAACGATTGCACATTTTCTTTGCAGAAGTTAGTCGATCCCTTTTCTTTTCGACCCTAACGGAAATTCGACGTTTTCAACCGGATAAAAAAGAGTATTCAGGGGCGGTAATCGCCGGAAGTTCGGTCACGTCTATCGACATTGATATTGAAAAGGAGCTTCTCTATTGGACAGACCAATCTAACAAGTAAACTTTATGTTTCAAAGGTCCTTTAATGGACACGCGGTCTGGTGATCAAGTGAAAATTGAAACCAAGACAGTATATAACATATTGTTCACGCACAAAAATGATATAATTTTGTGAATGCAAACCGGTCAAATGAATAAAACCAAAACAAAATCTAAATGAAAACAACGTTGTGTAAAATTACTTTTTCTAAAAGGTATAGTTATATGATAAACTTTTTGTTATAATTTTGACTTTGAAACATTGTTTGATTTGTTTGTTTATTTTGTTGTAGTTTTTTTGTTGGGATGTTGTTGTTTTATTGCTGTTTTGTTAGTGTTTTTTGTTTTGTTTTTTTTTGTTGTTTTTTTTTTGTTTTTTTTTAATTTGTGTTTTTTTCTCATTCTTAGTTTAGTAATTTCTTTGTTGTTGCTTTTATTTATTGATTTTTGTTTTTGTTTCAGAGGAATATTTCGTGCTCCGATAACAAACAAGAATGACAGGCTTGGGTTGCCACAAAACATCGGTGTCCGTACTTCTGGACCTTACGGCATTGCCGTCGATTGGGTTGAAAAGTAATTAATATTTATATCACTTTGGTTGTCATTTGACGTTTGATAAACAAAATATTTTTGTTTGGTGTTGTTTAACTTTTTAATTGATATAGAACATTTTTTTTAATTCATAATGTTTCCTTTCGAGGAAAAAAGTTCTTCTAGACGATTACTTAGTACCTAATTTCATTATATTTGCTTTATCGTCAAGAACTAAGCATTTACAGTTCCATTAACAATACAATGTCAAATAGATCGCTGACTAGCCATGCATTTAAATATTAAAAGACAGCTACTTTAATTTCCAAACATTTAGCTGAAAACTTTTACAGCCTTCCTTATTTAGAAATAAAACAATATATATTTTACAACAGGGCATTGTCTTATATTTTCAAAGGACATTTGTTCACTTGTTATTATCAGGAAATATAATGTTTCCTTTATTTATTTCAGTAATATTTATTGGACCGATGTCAAAGAACACAGTATTTCCGTTTCTTTGTTTGATGGCAGATACCAACATACATTGATATCTGATATATATGAACCATTAGCTATTGCCGTCAATCCAAAATATGGGTAAAAGTTTTATTCCGATTTATTTTACAAAGACTTTCATGAATTAAAGACGTAGCACTTTAACCAGTTCATTGTCCTTCAATACAGTTTTGAATTATCCATTATCTGTTGCTATAAATACAAAATATAGGTTTATTTCATTTTTGTTTTCGAAGATTGATTTACTTTAGATTCTTTTCATAAATAGAAAGCAGTCGCAATTTATTTCAATGAAATTTAAACCGTTACCGCATGGTGTCACAGTGTAATGTAAGATAATGAAATCATAGGACTATTTTTATGATGTTATATGCTTCTAATCCTTAACATAATTTTAACAAATTTTACTGCTGCCACATCCATAATAATATGCCCATTTGTGTCTCTATTATATACATATTATCTTTTTTTTAAATAGCCTTTTTACGTTTATTTTACATGTATTTATATCCTTCTTTCTAAGAATGTATTTACATGCCTTAGTAGCTTTTTTCAAGTATTCACATATCTAAATAACTTTTTTCTAGGTTTATACCTGTCTAATTACCTTTTTTTCGTATATGTACATAAAAATACAAATACATGTTGTACACAAAGTGTTAAGTATGGCATTCTTCAGATGTGTGCGTGCGTGCGTTCGCGCGCGGACGTGTATGTGCCTCCTTTTTTAATGTACAAAAGTAAGACAAAAGTAAGTCAAGATATGCATATACTATTGTTTTTATACTTTAACTGTTTAACAATGATTATCTAACATTTTTATACGTATAAAACTAATTAAACTTACTCACATAACCATTTACAGACTGTTGTACTGGACTGATGGAAATCCTAAACAACCTCGCATAGAGCAGTCGTGGATGGACGGAACGAACCGGAAAACGCTCATCTCCACTCGTCTAATACGCCCGTCTGCACTTACTATAGACTATACAATGTCGGACAGGGTGTACTGGGCGGATTATAAGTCTGGTGTCATTGAGTCGATGAATTTTGACGGTTCTGAGAGAGCCCTAATTATAGAAAAAGGTTGGATAAGTATGATTATTTGTTAAAAATTGTTTAAAAAACTAATATTTGTATGCAGTCGGATAAGAAATCAAACACCGTTAGTGATATAGTGATTCCTTATTTAGATAATGCACACAAATAAAAATCGTTTTGAAAGGAAACTCGCTAAAGAAACTAAATATGTATGCTTTTATTTACCATTGATTGATACAATAATGTCTTGCTACTTGACAAATTACGCCCGACACATAGGCCACTAAATCAATTCAGCTTTTCAGTAAAACTATATTGTTATCATTCAAAAGATGGCAGTTTGTAAATTTTTATAGATTCTATTTTATTGCAAATGAAATAATTATATTGACAATTAGATTTGTGATTTACCAAATGTGCCATTTTATTTCATCAAATATGAATTAATGTTGGCAATAATATAACAGTCTTTACATATGTACTTCTATTATCATCATTATTATTTATTAATATTAATGTTATTATTATTATTATTATTTTTATTATTATTATTATTATTATTCTATCCAGCTGTGCTTTTCTATTGATATTGCAATTAACAAAAGAATTCAAGAAATTACTTGTTCAGTTTATTCATATGTATATAATTTGGTCAAGTTTTTTTTCTCCCTGAAATAATTTGTAAGGTTTCTAGGCATATAAATGTTACTCGTTTCAATACAATTTCAGCATACAGTCCGGTCAGTTTAGATGTGTTCGAGTCAAAGATTTACTGGGTTTCTCAGAAGAATGGGTCAGCACATTATATGGATAAATTTGGTTTTGGGAACTCGACTGTACTTCAGACAGGACTAATTTACCCGAGCGGAGTGAGGCTGTTCCATAGACTCAGGAAAGACTTAGAAAGTATGACATTTGAATAGAAAGATTGAAGAGTTCCTTTATCTCATTATTTTAAAGAATTTAAATGTGAAATTACATGCAAGTAATATGTTACATAAAAACATAAGAAAAATTGTGATCATTTAACGTAAGCTTGAACCGGAAGTGATTAGCCTTTTCCACCAGTAAATCTGCCTTTTTACCTGTATATTAGCCATTGTCAGCAGTATATTAGCCTTTGTCGACCTTTGCCACCACTTTGTTAGCCTTGCTAGTAAATTAGCCATTGCCAGCAGTAAATTAGCCATTTCCAGCAGTAAATTAGCATTTTCCACCAAAAGCCTTTGTCGCCAGTATATTAGCCTTTCCACCACTATATAAGTCATTGTCATCTCTATATAAGCCTATGTCACCAGTAAATTTGCCTTTTGCAGCAGTGCCAAACCAGGCTCAGTTTTTAATTTTTAAATTGTTTTTGACCAGATAAAATTACTCCAAACATCAACCAATATCAACCAAGTATATCTTACCAAACAGATATAACTCAACAACAAAAATAAAATACAACAACCAAAACAACTAATTACAACCAATGAATCCTTATCAATTATGATCACCACAATTAAATTCAACCAACTTCAACAAACCAACAAAACTCCCTTCAACTTTCAACAAAAAAGTAAGCGCTACTCACTTTAAGTGTGCCTTCCCTAAACTGATGTCAAATCTCTCCCAAGACTCACATATTTTCTATTTGACATTCACATGTAGACATTTATACGCACAGCAACTAGGTTTAAAAATAAACTGTTCATTGAAATATTATACACTTCAACGTATCGCTGTAGGAAGACATTTACTTGATGTTAAAAATATCTACAGTGAAACTGTACGATTATTCTGACAGCCTCCTACTCAAGAAAACACTCTACTGTTTTCAAACAATATGAATTTTCTACAATGTCCCTTTTCAGGTATCGAGTCTACTAGGGTAATCTGCATGTGTATTGTCTAACACGATTGGCGTTTTGTCAGTCAACTCAATCTTGTGAAATTCAACTTCTGTAGTTCCAGGAACGTCAGTAAAAATATCCCCAAATTCTTGAAGCAACACATTTACTTCTGATTTCTGTTCGAGTGATAATTGATTATCAACATTTACATCTCTGAACGTCTTTCTACCCTGTGTTTCTACTAGTTCTTAAAGATTTTTATCATCGACCACCCCAGTATTTTATTACTTTAGGCTTCTATTACATGTATACTCGCACAAATCCTATCATCTCGTTCTTCGTATTTCTTCAACCAGAAGATTTTTGTGGTACACCCCAATTATATCACCTACTTTTACATTCTAGTCAAACTTGTTAACTTAGTCAAACTTGTTAACTGCTTCACTTACAACAAATGGACCTTTCCATTGTAACATTAGTTTATTGTGTGTTGAAGGCAGGAGCAATAAAACTTTGTCTCCTTTCTTAAGACTTCTTGGTCATGTTTTCTTATCATAATGATGTTTACACTCTTCTTGTGGGTTGGTAAGATTCTCTCTAGCAATCTTGCATGTTTGTTCTTACCTATTTCTCAAATCTAGGACGTACTCATACGTATTATGTGTCTCTGTGTCAGTGCTTGCCATATAGTAGCTCAAATGGTGAAAACCCTTTACTTGACTAAGAAACTTCTCTGTATGCAAAGAGAACCGAAGACAAATATCTGTCCCAATCCTTAGGTCTTTCTTTGCACATTTTAGGATTACAAGTATACAAACCTCTTCCATGAGTTGTGATGTGACCTGACTACCTCAAAATATTTCCGATGGAAAACCTACTATTGCAAAAATATCTAACAATATTTCGGCTATTTTTTCAGTCTCTATTTTTGGTAAAGCAACAGCTTCTTGGTAACGAGTAGCATAATCAACTACAGTTAATATGTACCTATTTCCTTTTTCCTATACAGGCGATATTGGCCCTATCAAATCAGCTGCTAATCTCTGGAAAGGAGTGTCAATATTAGGCATTTCACCTAAAGGAGTTTTCTGAAGTCTACCCCTGGGGATCGTCTTCTGACAAATATCACAGGAACGACAAAATCTAGTTACATCACTAGAATGCCTGGCCAGTGTAAACTAGAGTATATCCTGTCTTAAGTCTTGCATATAGACAAATGCCCACCAACTATAGACTCGTGAGCTAATGACATAGCTCTTTTATGATATTTTATACTAGGAACAACTGTTTGTCTTGTTTCAGACTTCAAATCACCTTTCACTGTCTCAAATATTCTATACAACGCATCTTTTTCTATTTCATATCTAAATTTGTTACCACTTTTTGTTTTCATGATCTTATTTTCTCTCGCATACTGCCACAAACGCTGTAAAGTATTGTCATTAGATTGTTTTTTCTTAAGAATATCTACCGTATTTTCGTTATCTTCGACCTTTCGAACTTTAAGAGGTTTCATTGCTTTCTTCTCTTTTTCTGCCTGTGCTCTAGTATCAACAGATTCTATGTTTATTTTTTCTCGGCTAACCCACTTCTCATTTGGCATAGCAAGTACACTCTGAATATTGCCTAAGACTAAGTCACAAATTGTTGACTCTAAAACCATAGCTTCTATTTCATCCTTATAATAAGGTGTATCAATGTCTATTTTTGCCATGGGTACCAACCTGGCCCGACCATCTATTGGTTTTATGGTTTTGTTGTGATTAATGCTTCCGAGGGATCACTTTGTTTCCAGATTTTAATGGTTTTAGAGTCAGAAACAAAAATCAGAAGTAAATGTGTTGCTTCAAGAATTTGGGGATATTTGTACTGACGTTCATGGAACTACAGATCTTGAATTTCACAAGATTGAGTTGACTGACAAAACGCCAATTCGTGTTAGACAATACACGAACCCATATGCATAAAGGTCAACGTGTTTGCAGATTACCTTAGAAGACTGGATACCTGAAAAGGGACATTGTAGATTATTCATTTGTTTGAAAACAGTAGAGTGTTCTTGAGTAGGGGCTGTCAGAATAATCGTACAGTTTCAATGTAGATATATTTTTTTACAACAAGTTAATGTCTTCCTACAGCGAAACGTTGACGTGTATCATATTTCAATGAACAGGTTTTTTTAACCTAGTTGCTGTGCATATATATTTCTACATGTAAATGTCCAATAGATAGGTGAGTTTTGGGAGAGATTTGACATCAGTTTAGGGAAGGCACATTTATAGTGAGTAGCGTTTTTTTTTTTGTTGTTGTTTTTTTTAGAAGAGAATTTGTTGTTTTGAAGGGAGTTTTGTTGATATGTTCAAGTTGGTTGAATATAATTGTAGTGATCTTAATTGACCAGGGATCATTTGTTGGGTGAATTTTCATAATATGACGCAGAACATCCTGGTGTGCTCATTTCATGAAAATTTGTTGTTTTTTTTAGAAGAGAATTTGTTGTTTTGAAGGGAGTTTTGTTGATTTGTTGAAGTTGGTTGAATTTAATTGTAGTGATCTTAATTGATCAGGGATCATTTGTTTGGTGAATTTTCATAATACGACGCAGAACATCCTGGTGTGCTCATTTCACGAAAATTGTTTTGTGTATATTATATTTAATTGGTAAGCATTCTTAAATATGTATAATTTATAATGATTTTCGTACATAGTAAATTTACTTTTACAGTAAAACCAAGATGCCCGAGGCACGGTGAAATGTGTAGTCACTTATGCCTGTTAAAACCACGAGGATACTCGTGTGCATGCCCGGATGGTACTTCTTTTGATGGAGAAAACACCTTTACATGTGATGCTGGTTTGTGATTTATTTGCATTTTTTATCACATAGATGGAGAATGTATTTTCAAAACAGGACATCTAGCTTTTAAGTGGTCTAGCATTTGAAACACGACGTGGTTCTTTTCCTTACACTGAGACATAATAGTCTGACAGAATTTTTTGGTAATTTTTAAATTATTTAAAAAAATATTTCTGTTTTGTATCATCGTCAAAGCCTGTTGTAGAAAAGTGTTTGGTAAGAATAGCTTTTGGTAGCCGTGTGTTATTGACAGAGGTTACACTTTAAGAAGCATTTCAGACTTATTAAGCCAATTCTTTCTGTACATCAGTGTAACCTCTCCAAAGCGGCCATCAGTAGGACAATAATTTTATTTGCAACGACAATATTAATTCTTGCCAAAGTAGGAATTCTCATCATACTTAAAATCGATAGAGCAAAATCGTTGTCTCCCAAACGTTATTTCTCTGAAGATATAGTACTGAATTGTATTGTATTGCATTTAAATGTATTGTACTGTATTGCATTTTATTCTAGTATGGTTTTGTATAGCCTGGGTTTCAGTCTGTCGATATTTTATGTGCTTCTGTTTGGCAAATCGACAGCCTGGGGAAATACGATTTTCGATCGAAGCGCCACCTAGTATACACCCCGAAAATTACGGGTGTTATTTAAAGAACGATAACTCATGCAACGACAAACAAGTTTCTAAAAATAGAAACGGAATTTCCACGAAGTGACCCGAAGCTCAACGAACAGTTACGGAGTCTCGCTTTCAAAACACCTTTTCCGATTTAAAACTAACACTTGTTGACAAAGTTTATTGCATGATGAGTGAATTTGATCAACAGGTTTGATTAGTTAAATTGGATAAAGTTTGTGAGCATCGGAGAATTGTGCTGGACGCAATTAATAATAGTAAATGGCGTCAAATTTTCAACACACTAACAAAGTTCTATGCTCCTGCGTTTATGAATAAATTATGCAAATGAGCCGCCATGTTGGAGTTTCGGTAAGCGTGTTGGAAATTGCTACCTGTTCGTTTTGAAAGCTCGTCCTAACTAACAGTTTCCTTGAATGTAGGAAAACTTGGTTTTGTTTGATTGCATATTGAATGATAGGTATTACAAAATAAATGTAATGAAAATCGATCAATAAATAATTGTATACGAGCGTTATAAAGTCAATTTAATTCATCAGAATAATAAGGTTCTGTTGCAGGGTATCGGTAAAAGACTGACTTTTTCCCGTTTTTTGAAATTTATTTGAACACGGAGACAATTTTTCTCAAACAGGTTTATGAATATACTTTACGTTGCAACAGAGTTTACCGTGTGTCCACTCCTTATTTAAATTGTCTGAGAAGTTAAATCTGTTTGTTTACATGTAAATGTGTACCGTCATTTTGACCGACTGGAATAAAAACCACCATGACGATGATAATACCGGATATGTAATGAAAATTATGCCGTGTAGTGCAAAGTTTTGGACATTGAAATTAAAATTAACACTTACGTTGACTCAAACTGTTCCTTGTCAGAAAAATTGAAACCGAAAGTAGTGGTTGATCTAGAATTTAATCGAATAAAATGGGTGGGATTTAACCACCGCGCATGCCCTGTGCGAACGTATTGTTTACATCCGGTCGTAGCATAGGGTAATAGTGCAAACTTTGTTAGTGCAACATTCATCATCTTTGCCTCGATTTCGATTTAGTCATGTAATTTGTTGGTCACGTGCTAATCGGTCTATTAATAGGTTAATCATTAGCCGATAATTACATGGGAAACCCCGCAGGTTTCCCCAGGCGTTGATACTATCAAAACCAGAGATGTTGCGTTATCTATGACGATCGAGTATGATGCGCGTATGTTATGAATAAGCAAAAAATATCAACGCCTGAATCCCAGGCTAGGTTTTGTATTGTATTTGTTTGTATTGTACTGTGATGTACTTATTGTATTGCATTGTATTGTAGTATTGTTTTGTATTGTATTTGTATGTTTCAAACTGTAATGTACTGTACTGTAATATTGCATTGTATTGTATTTATTGTAGTGAAGTTTAGTGTACTGTACTGTATTGTTGTATTGTGTTGTATTGTACATAATCTCAACTATATTTTGTTCAAGTTCAAATGTTGAAGCATTCTTATTCTACAAAGAGTGTAATTGTTAAATTCGTCAAGCCGATTAGTTTATCTGTTGAAAAGAGAATATTCTTGTTTTGTCAACATCAGTTTAAGTTTGGTTGTTAATGTTTGTTGTCCTTTATTCATAAATAGCCTCCGAGGTAGAGAAATGGGCACCTAAGATATGCGCATGCTGGAACGGTGGTGAATGTATCTTGTTTCACAATGGAACACATTCCTGTATATGTTTGCCAGGTAATCTCTATATAAATTTGTTTTGATTTTAACTCACGACAGTGTTGGAGCAGTATCTCTAGACGCTTGACAATCATGATCACAAAGGAGATCTAGTAAAATATCGCTCTTTTTCGACAATTCTTGCATTTTGCATTAAAGATCATATACAAGAAAAGCATTGATGCAAAGCATCAAAGGGCGTCCAAGCAAGAAATGCAGCAGGTGAAGATGAACTAGTAGATATATGATGACAAGATATTCTTATAAACTTTTCAATGGTTAATTGGTTTTTACCAGAATTGTATATCACTTATGAATGAACGGACGAAAGACATTGTTCATTATTAGCTATGCTAGAGATTAGAATATTACTTGTAATTTCCTTATGATCATTATTATTAATAGCAACGGATATACATGATTGTATACAATCATTTATAATCCATATGTGTTATGCATGATCAACACCACACTTGTGTAATTGTCCCTTATTATGTTATCGCTATTAGCAAAGACACCCTCTTAAGGTATCTGTTCACACTTAGTAACAAATATGACACTGGTTATATTAACATGTTGATCATGTCGAGCATAATTGTTTATTATACAACAATTGTAATATCTATTTTAATAAAAAAAATTACAGATTTTATGAATATTGTTTTCTTTTCTTTTTTGTGTTTTATGTGCTATTTTAATACTGAGTTTTTACGTTTACTACTATTTTAACAATTCAATTGTTATATTGACCGACGATTATAAGTCAAAACTTAATAGAAAAAAGTCAGTAAATTATGGTTAATCTTTCAATATATAATATTGTTTATTCTTAAACCATATACATGTACATTTGTATTTTTCTTTATCATTTTTTAAATTATCAATCAATTGAATAATTCATAAAATCTAATTTGTAACTTTACTAAACACGAATAACAAATTAAATAAAATGTTTCAAAGCTGATAGTGTCATATTAATACCATAAAAATGTACCTTTTTTCTCAATTATTGTACATATTTATTGTTTTTATCTCATATAGATAAAATAAAACACACTATTGTTGTTGTTTTTTTTTTCGAATTGTATGTTCATGTATAATAATAATAATAATCAATAAATGTGAGAGTTGGTCTGTGTTTATTAATTATTGTAACCAAACTAAGTGACAAACATTCATTTTGGAAAAAAAGCTTATTTATCTGTAAAATATTTGTTCTGTTCTGTAACGATATCAAATATCTACTCCAAAAACGGGAGAGACCGGACAATAAACGTGTGGTACTATTCGCCGGTCACTAGTAAATCCCGGTCAAAATAAACCAGGAGAGACCGGGAATTACCGATAGGAGTACATCCCTCTATAAATAGATTTTCGGAATATTTAGGTCATCAACTCATCATTCTATTTACAGCTTTCGGATACATGTACATGTACAACAATAACATACCATAATAACCCACTGTGTACTACAAAATGATAAATAAAAATACTCCGAAGAGCGGAAAAGGTTATTTCATTTGAAAATGTTTGCATTGCGAAATTCGCCATTTCGCTATTCATTGTACATATCGCGACATTTCATTTTTAATTAATAATCAAGCACCCTCATACCGATCGGAATGATCGGCTTTTATCATGACCGACTAAAAGGCTCGAGAAGTTGCTGTCGCCCTTTCACAAAATCTGATTTCATTCCATATAGGGCGCCGCGCTTCGGCGCGGCCGCCAATAAATCGGTGTCCGGAGATGAATTTGCCGTCAAAAAGTGCATTTTTTGCGGATAAAAAGGTGAGATGATAATCATTCAAGCGCCTTGTCCGGTATATACTGAAATACGATATTTAGTGTGGTGCTCCAACATTTGTTTGTCTCGATCTGTTTGCGCCACTTAAAAATCTGGTCAGACAATCGCGTGACTATGCGAGAACGTTTTAATATGTCTATTTATGTAAATTGTTGCATGATGGTTAGTTAACAGTTTATTTTACATGATCAGATACGCGCTTTAATTGCTTGGAGATAAACTTTATTTAGACTGCGAGTGCGAGTCTTAATTACAGAATATGTGATAGAACCAAATCAACTTTTCTTGTGCGTTGTATTGTCATGTTCTATCAAATGATATTTCTATTTTATTAAGAAGCGTTTTCTTTTATGCACTACTGGTAAATTGTAATCACACCCTCCCCGTTCGTAAATTTCTTGTTAAGGGCACCACTACGGTATGCAATCTCACCGGCACTTTTCCTGGCATTGATCTAAAAGTGCGGGGACATATGGAAAGTAAAATTCCCCTGCAATCCACAACCCTTCTGTAGGGGTAGCTTGGCCGTGATTGCAATTGACTGGTGCATTTCATAATATACTTTTAAGATATGTGCATAGCTCTTGCTGAATTATGATTAACTGGTGTGTATTTCTAAATGTATTGTTCTGAAAAAAATATTAAAACCTTATATCAAACAGATATTTCATGTTGCAGGTTTTAGCGGCAACTTATGTGAGCATGTCGAACCGAAGAAACTTACGAGTGAAGAAGATGTCCCAAGTAATGTTATCTTCATCAACAAAGATTGCAACTTAATTCATAATTATGTTACATGGATTTTTTTGTTTAATTACGTAGATAAATAAAATATCAAAAATCTACTACGCCCTCTAAGCTCAAAGCCCGCTTAGCTCAAAGGCGAATTAATCGAATTCGTAATCCAGGGGTCGCTGGTTTGATCGTCGGACAAGGCGAAATTTGTCCTTGGCAAATCATGTGGGATTAGTAGTCGGTCACTTGCAGAAATTTGTAATTACTATTACTGGTTAGTTATCCAGGTAAGTCCCCCGCCGAGGTATGGTCTAAAATGTGTTAAAATCGGCGGGAAAAGACGTACAAACTAATAATAAAATCTATCATCATTGAATGTTCAACAATTCCATTTTATATATATACATTGTATACTGAAAAATATTTGAACCAAGTAATGTTGCACTTGAAGCATTTACCGGATACAAGATTGATCAATTTAGCAATTAACATATTATTCATTTGTTTATTCAACTATTTATTCATTCAATAATAAATAGTTTATTTATTTATATCATTCGTTTATTCATTTTTATTCAATATTTTTTCATTTTCTTTCAGGACTGTTGGCAATAGTTATACCTACAGTGGTTGTGTTTATTCTTGGTGCAGGATTACTTATTGTTGTTCTTCTGATTTGTAAGCGAAGACGGTATGTTGTCTTAATATCTGCTATTATCACAATGCAAATAAGTTTCTAGATTTTCAGCGGGTTGACACACACTTTATACTAAAACAGTATTTACCGCCAAAAATACACTCCCCAAAGCGCCCCGCATGGCTCTGTAAGAGCATTGTAATATGTCTACCAAGCAACAAAATGGCGGACGCCCGTCGCATCATTTTTTATTAATCAAGCATTTAAATTTTGCGTGGATTCTAAAAAGTCATTTCGCGATATTCACATATTGAATAATTAGAATTTACAAATGTTACTGTTGATGTTATTTGTTAATTTGAAATAAACGTCTTGCGGTTATATTTTCTTGTAAATCCCGCTACAGCCAGTATAACTGATAGATGAATACATTTGTGTATATTGCATCCTTCCTTTAGACAATTTTTCTTTCAAACGTGTTCCCGTAACTTTACAATAAATGCCATTATTTAGATCGAAAACTAATTTTATTCTCTCAATACCAAATTACTTTCCTTTATTACTACATTGTAATTTGGTTTCTTTATTAGAAAGTATCTCCATAACTTTCCCGTAAGATATTATTAAAGACATGTTTTCTTGAATTCAAAAGCTATTTACTGTCAATTGATTCCAAGCTTTACAACTTTAACTAATATGCGAAGATTAGTTCTTCCTTCTTCCTTGTTGCAAAGATTAGTTCTTCTTGTTGCAAAGATTAGTTCTTCTTTCTTCCTTGTTGCAAAGATTAGTTCTTCTTTCTTCCTTGTTGCACGTTAGTTTTCTGATGATAATCGCAATATGAAATTCACATGTAGTTAAGATAGAAACCTTCAGCATCGCCAAATACTGCAAAATTGAAAACGTTTAAGGCTTTGTTTGATTTCACGGGAGTGATATGTTCAAAGAACTTTCCACGCCATCTAATAATGGCTTCAGCAGAATTCGACGAAGTCGCTAAAATGCTTTTCTAATCTTTTTCAATGAATACAAGTCTTGTAAATATCTGTTTGTTAGGAAAAAGTCAGCAACCACCGTGGCTTATTCTAATGGAGAGCATGTTGAAATCCCAGCAGCATTTTCCGTTCCTCCAGCATCTGAAGTAAGTTTGTTTGAACAAGGAAAGATAAAGGACTTTTTTACCTTTATATGCAAATTTGATTGGAAAAAAAATTAATGTATGCAACAAATTTGCAGTATCCAATCATATCTCCTAGCAAATGCTTTAAATACTGAACAGAACAGAAACATTTTATATTTAATAATTACACGAGCTTTCTCAGCAATTGTAAAGCTATTATTCTTATATTTATACGAACCCATTATAAATTAAACTTATATGGTAGCATTAAAGACAACTAAAAGAGTTGCCTTTTATCACAAAAAGCCAGATAAATGCATGAAATATAATTCATGATTACTGTACAGTGCGGTTCTCATTATTTGCCGATCCCTAACTTTGTTTTCGACCTGACCGCAGTATGGTATTGAACAACATCACATCATGTTTATAATATTGCATGTGTATAAAGATTGTGGTAGCTGTAATTTGTCTGACCATTATTCCAATTATTATAGTGTAGATGCTTTAAAACAGCTATAGACGGTGCTCGGGAGCCTTAAAGATATTGCATTTTAATGTCTCCCTTGCAAACAAAATCAGTAAACCGATTAATCGAATTTCATTTCATCCCCTTGATACCCGGCTCCTCTCCTACCTTTTCTTTGCAAAATTGTTAAATAATCAAGTAAAACACATGTATCCATAATCAATTTTATTTACGGAAGTATGTTAAACGTGTTTTAATTTGCAGGTGCAAATGGTGGCGGATGATCCAACGCCAACCAATTTCTGTAACCCTTTGTACGAAACTTGTAAAGGTGAAGATCCTCAGTCGTTCATGAAAGGCGTGCAGGAAATATCCGTGCCTGATGAGGATTCGGATCATTACGCTTCAGCCGGCAGTGTAGCTAGCATATATCCTTGGTAACTAATCAAGCAAAACCATTTAAAGCTGTAAAAAGCACAACGTTTGTCATGAAGCATTGTTTTATCGTGTCCAGGAACAGACCTAGAGAAAGATTTTTTTTATTTTCTACGTTTCTGTTGATTCATACATTAATCTTTAGTGAAACAATTAGTTGAAACATATTTTATTGCAACAAATACATGTAAAATATTACACAAATGATAAGCATATAATAGAAAGCAAATGGGTTGGGCAACAAGTTCAAGCAACATTAGATTAAGCCCTTCCCTGTGGACAATGAGACAATGCCGTACATATTAATGTTTGTTGGCGCGCGTTTAATATTAAATAATGCATTTGAATTTATTTTCTTTTCATGTTGGATTTTGTATCTTACATTTACATTACAGTAGCGATGCTAAAAACAATGAAAGCACCTATATCACGCCTACTAAACACACCAACTCAACAGACTTTGCAAGTTTAGTGGCTGGAAGTGAACCTAGGCACCTCGACGCCGCAGAGGATCATGGGAGTGACACAAATGTTCTCGTTAAACAAAGTGTAGATGGACTTACTGAAGAGGAACATCAAGTATAGATAATACACCTCACCTGTTTATACACCACAAAAACATGACAAATATTTCATCTAGACAAAGTGATTTGGTCCCCATTTTTGACAAACACTTTCTTTGTTATGATGGCCGACTTTCTTTAGGCATCATGTAGATAATTCATTGCCAATAGGTGATTAATATTGAGTTTGCAATTGGTATTACAATAATATATTCCTTCTGCAAATTGATCAAGCTATGCTTAAGAACTAGTTTTTACTTAGTTGCAACTACGTCAGATAATTTTAGTCATTTTGGGGGGATTGTGTTGACTTTATACACAACATAGTTTAATAAAGAGTCTGTCATAATACCATCAGACATAGCAAATTTGCTCAACCTTAACATTTTTCTTTCAAAAATACTGTTAAATACATAATACCATGTTTGATACTTATTCTCAATATGTTATCAGAACTTGAATATCAAACTTTTTGTACCAAAATGTAAAGCGATTCCTATCGGGCACAATTTTTATATAACTATTGTAAACTATTTTCTTAATTTATACGAAAAAAGTTTACAGGAATATGTGTTTAACACACGGATATGAAAACAATCATTATTATTTCTGAAACAGCTATCAAACGCCTCGTCATCAAGAGGTATTTCCTTAACATGTATCAAGCCCCAGGTTTCGTGACGCAAAATTTCAATAAATAAACATGGAGAGTGTTGGTTGAAAATATTTTTCATTCAAACAGTGTTTTTAAAAGCTTGTTTATTTCATGTTTTCTCTTGATTTATACAGACGTTTATATGCATAATATGTAACTCATGACAACAATTCAATAAGAAGTATCTCTCGAGTCTAATAACTTAAAAAGGCATGCATCAAAGAGCCTTACTTTTACGATTTATTTCTTTATGCAGAAACATTTATTGATAACATATTTATTTAGAATTCTAAGACACTTTTCACGAAATAGTAACTTTTTTCAATTGTGACACCATGTATATTTCACTGTATTTATTATTTTTCTCCCCGATTGTATTGTACACTTAGATTATTTTGTGTAAGTTAAGAAAATATGCATTTTGAACCGTTATGTATAATCTAGATATGTAAATATAGTATAAAAACTTGTAACTTTACGTTTTTATTTCCCAATGTATATCAACTATTTCTCAACATGATAGTCATATTTCCAATGTACAAGAAGTTTTTAATCTGAAGAACTGAAAATTGTGCTGTAAGTTAATTTAATTTCCATTTACTTTTGTAATTAGAAAAACTAAAGTGAAATGATTACTAAAGTCTTAGGATACTTCCCATTTCATAAATAATGATAATGTCAAAACAATGCAGAAACACGAGTAATTGTAATTCAAAGTATACATACTACTTTGATATAACATAATGGATATACAAATATCTAGCCGAGAACGTAGAATATATGATTAAGCTAGACTTACTGGTGAAGATTTATCAAGATTTAACCCTAAAAACTGACTAAGGGCTAACACATTCAACCCGATACCTCCACGTTCAAACTTTGGTAATATTATGCGACATTACTTACTTTAAAATATGACCGTTTGCTGTTGATATCTTCTGTCTGTGTGAGCCCTTAATGAGTTTTATGTGGATGAAATATATATTAACCTTCACCTCACAGGAAAGTCTAGCTTAATCAAAAGTGTCGCTGCCTAAAATGCTAAAGTAACTAACAGATTTGTTATAAAATCATTTTTTCAAATCAGTATGAAAATGCTGCTGACTTGTTGATAATCAGTAATTATTATTAAATATGAAAAAAGGCTAACGCTATTATATGAATGTTTCCAGCGTAATTTAAACTGTTCATTAGATCGGCATTGATTTCAGTCATTGAGTCTCAACGGCATTTTGTCTCTCAAGGCTTCTCAAACAATCATTCTAATAGCCTTTCGCCTGCAGAATAATTTCTAAATGGCGTTAAGTTATGAAAGACGGTAAGGTCGACCGACAAAGCGAAATACGACAAAAATGTGTTGAAATCCGAGTAAAAACGTGAACATACAGATCGAACATAACAAAACTTTATTTTCTATTTTTCCAGTAGTCATTGTTCTCGCGTATAACGAATTTAATATAGCGTATATCTCGGTTTGCTAGATCCCAAGTTTTTCCCTTTATCTTGTATAAAATCCTTGTTAGTAGCACACTCGGTTTTAGCAAACTGCAAACAAGCTTTAACCTGTTCTTCAAGCTGAAATTTCGTAAGTGTACGCAAATGTGTATGATACAGAACAATGCATGAAACTATATATCGAGGCTGGTTGACAGCAAAACTGTTGTAAGTCTTTCTTTATTTCATATCAGTTACTGCAGTTCTGAAGTCAACATTCGGTATGTTTCTTCATTATTAAACTTAAAACTGATTTTCTTTTCATCTGTTGAATAACCTACAACATTTTAACTTTCCTGACTGCACTAATCTATCCCACTCTCTTTTGAATAATGTTCCACTCACAAAATACAAGAAAAAGTTAAAGGTAGAATTACACCATCCTAGTACAAGTACAATGATTGTTAAAAGTTGCCACATTGAAACATCTCTTTCGTTGAGGTCACTTATCTGTGATTTTGCAACACTGTAACATGTAAACGGAAACGAAGTTACCATGAAAAATATAGTCAAAGTAAATAACATACGGTTTGGTGAACGTGTCTTAGCGTTTGTTGTTGTAATATGAGCAGAAGGTCGATTATTTTGAGCAGGTGTATGGAAACTGGACGGTTGTTTTGAAATTGTATTACTAGTATAAGTATTTGATTGACTAACGGTCTCTACAGATGCAAGGTTCATTTGTGTAACTGTTGGGTTTTGTATACCAACTGTTACATTTCCTTGTGAAAAATGATTTCCAGTTACTACCCTGCTTTGAGCCTGAGATAATTCAACACTGGATGTATGTTGTTGGTGCAGATCTACAGTGTTTAGTTGACATGTAGGATGAGTCTTATTAAGACGTTTCTTTCTAAGTATAATATCCGCTGCAATTGTCACATTTCCTATGATAATGATTGCAGCTGGCACGACATTGAACACTAGCAGAACAAAGAAACCCCATGGCCCTATGAAAAATATCATATATGTTCTGCTGACATATGTACACGGAAAATGCAGAAGAGAAAAAAGCTCTGGCCCAAACTCTGCAATCATCGCATCTTTCGATGAATGGTGTTGAAATCCATAGATCATATGACAGTTAGCACCAATAAGTACACATAAGATTGTCATACAAACAACAAAAGATGTTTTAGGTGTGAGTCTTCTCCTAGCACTGACCGGTGCCTTGGTTAAAAGCATGCGTTCTAGTGTAAGTAAAGCCAACAAGAATATCGAAAACGCAACTAACGTATAAAGAATCCATAGCCTTGTTCTGCAGAAGATTTTAGAATGATCGGCAAATCTGATTCCTGTTATACTATACACTGTATCCGGTAACAGACCAAATAACAAACTAACCATGTCAGTTCCAGCTAAGAAAAGAAGGTAAATGGATGTAGAATTTTTGCGCATACGTGGTCTTGACAGCACAATAAGGTTTAATATATTTCCGAATAAACCTATCATTAGAAGCAGAAATGGTACGATCCGCCATAGCCAATAGGCAATATTACATTCTATGTAAATAGTATCGGTGCAATTGAAATTATAGATATCAATGTAAGTTATGTCCACCATGTTTAAAACCGGACAATATAAATTTTAAATCGTGATATTTCCCACACTTATTTTGTCAAATAACCGAAAGTATTTCCTCCTTATTTACCTCAATTTTTATCACATCAATCGCTTTCTGTTTCCTGTCGTTACACTGCTTTGTATTTAGAAAAATGCACAATAATAATTTTAATACAAATTTATAAGCACTTCCCTGTTTGAATCAAAATATGTCATGTATTTCTCGAATATTTTGCAAAATGCAATGAAAAGATCATGTCATATAATCCATAAGATGTTATAAACGCGTCTGATTTTCTCCGTTCGTCGCACTATTTTTATACAGACATCTCAGCATTACATTCTAATGAATATGTAGACATACAATTCTCTGCAAGGAAAATTCAGCTGTTAATTCTCTACAGCGTTGGTCGATATCTTTCTTAGACACGCCTTTAATTGTAGAGAAATGAAACTGAATATTTTGCAGATAAATCACAGAAGGGCAAGCAACGATTTCTAAACTCAGCTTCCACAGTATCCTTAACCAACGAAACCAAAACGGGCACCAGACGAGAAGTGGCGGACAAACGGAGTAGAGGAGGGGCAGTTAAAATGATTGTTTGATTGAAAGTCATCAAGCAGCTATAAAAAGTTTGTCTATATTTATAAACGTTCTTTGCAAGATAGATAATATTGCATTTTTTTGGTTGACCGAAAAAATAAATATATTCTTACAGTTTCTTTCTGGTGTCTCCATTCTATAAAGTCTGCTACAGTCAGTGAAAACTAGAAATGACATAAACTATCTATCGCTTACATACAGTATAATAATACTTAAGAATGATATTGGAAGTTGGTCTTTATAGATTAACACAAAAGAATTCGAAAATAAACTGAATGACGATATACTGTATACTCAGAGACATAGATAACAGAGATAGGCAACTTCCTAACCAGTTACAATATCACGCGTGCCTGCTAAACTTAAAACTTGTAGCAAGTAAAACTTATTAACCAGATATCAAAATCAGTAAAATTATATATTTTCTGAAAGATTATGCATTTGTCTATGGCTGCAGGTTAAAATATTTACAGTTCCCATTTAAATAAATGATACATCAATTTTTAAAGGGAACTACTTAATAATTGTTGCTACAAAACTATTAATATGACGAAAAAAACTGGCTCAGTGGGTATGTTCTGCTATGTTTTCTAAGTAAAAGGCATGGAAAGTTACCAATATTTTAACATGCAGCAATATATAAAAGATCTACTTTTCAAATGGTATATAATATTAAAGGATCAAATGTACATCCATTAAGTTTTATTTTCTACAAAATGCCTAATTTTTCACTTTTTGATAGGCATGAGTGATATTTCAATGGAGTATATAGGATCTGCTTATCTCTGTTATCTATGTCTCTGGTATACTTAAGAATTTAAAAGTACATGTATGTTTAAAAAACGATTAACAAGGCAAAGTTGAAAATGCTTCGGAGTCGGTTTGATTGAGTATGTGCATGGATGGCAAACGTGAACCCACAATACAGACGACGCTGAATAAGTTCGTTACTTCTATAAAATTAATAATTTCTCTGTATATGGCATCATTTTTGCATGAATACCCACATATGTGGGCAAACTAATCCATTACATCTGCAATTCATTATAGCAAAACAGTTCAAGATGGAAGTCTTGGACAAAACATCAAAAGCTTTAATTTGTTGTTATTTTATACATGGGAGATCGCATGTGTTTCTTTTTTTATGTTTTGCTGTTTATCTCTAGAGAAAGAAAATGCTGTAAGAGGAATCATAGTGATATCGGAAACAAAACATGTTGTTTTTTTTACTTTCAAAAGATCTTAAAGAAGTCATTTTGTTTCTTATAATCGATATGATACCTACCTTCTCCGTAGCAAATGGTTGATTTGTGCTCATTATAAAAAAATACATGAGCTCATTAAACACGCAAGGAAAATTGTTTACGTTTCATTTCAATAATTATGGTTAATTAACTAACAGATGACAAACATTGTTTTTTATTCAAATTCTACTCCAACACGAATCGTTCATTATATAAAAATTCTCACCATACCTGATTATAATTGATTTATGTTAAGACATTTTATTCATTTTGTTTGAAAATTTTCACCACTCTTTGAACATATCTTAATTCAAAATAAAATGTAAAAGAATCAAAGGCATCAGAAACGTCTGAATGCGTCTCTTGTGTATATGCTACTTTTTAGTAGAAGTTGACGCCAAAGGCGCTTCTCTAACTTTAAATGATCACTTTGCACAACAAAAACCGACATAATGTTAATCATCTAACAGCTGAAAATATCGGGAAGAATAAAAAAATCTATGCCAATAACTATTGTATAGGAGTTTTGATTATGTCATGATGGAACAACAATTTTCGTTTAATTATT